CTGATTCTAAGGGTATGTGTACACAGCAGCTAGACACCCATGGTTGACCTGTGCCAGCCAACTTGGGCTGCAGGGCTGTTTCATTGCTGTGTAGACTTCTGGGCTCGGGCTGGAGCCTGGGCTCTAGGACCCTCCCACCTTGCAGGGTCCTAGAGCCCAGGCTCGAGCCCAGAAGCACAGCAATGAAACAGCCCTGCAGCACAACCCCGTGATGAACCTGAGTTGGCTGGCGCAGGCCTACTTTGGGTGTCTAGTTGCTGTGTAGACATACCCTAAAAAGTGCTGCTGAGCACCACAACTCCCATTGACTTCAGTAGCAGGTGAGTGTACTCCACATCTCTCAGGATCAGGCACTTGGGGCTTGTGTACATGGAGAGTTAGTGCATGGCAAGCTAGGGTGTGAATCTGCAGCGCACTAGCTTGCTGTGCACTAAGTGGCTGCGTGGCTCGCGCTACAGAACTTTCAGTGCTTGGCAACGGGGTTCACATGGCTAGTTAGTGCACAGTAAGCTAGTGTGCTGTAGGTTCAGACCCTGGTTAGCCACACACTAACTCTCTGTGTAGACAAGCCCTTAGTTACTAAGGAGGTTATACATAGGGATCAACGAGGACTAAACTTTCAGCAGCCTATTGAAAATCCATGCCTATAATATCTGTGAGCATGTTTGTTCCCATGGTCATAAACTTGCATTTATACGTGTAAAAGGACAATTCAGTGTACAGTTACTCAAACTAGTGTATTTGAGCAGGCAAGCAAACGCTCCTGTAAATATTGATAGTAGATTTTTTAATAGCTGAACATTTGCTTTTCAGTATAGTGTTATGTATAACATGAAAAATATGTATTCTGGGAACTTTTAGGCATTGAGGAGAAACCATATGTGTTAGTCCTCAGACAGACAGATCTGAGTATACTATCTGCCCTACTGTTTTATTGCACTGGTCTTTTCACTAAATTATTAGTAATTCCTTAATAGCTTTTAAAAATTATGTTTACATTCCATCTCTTGAACTCTCTTCTGTAAAATGCTTCATGAGCTGAACGCAACATAGAGGTGTATTGCAATTGGGAGCTTTCAAAAATCATGAGTCAGGCTCAAAAAAAATCATGATTGGCTTAAAAATCATGTATTGTTTTTGTTTAAAAAAAACATTTTGGGTCTTATTTTCTTTTTGTTTCTGAGCCATTTTCAAGCTTTCTTCCACAACCAAAGGAGAGAGGTTTTTTTTGTTTTTTGTTTTTTTTAATGAAAGCTACAACTATCCTACAATCATTTGACTCCAGGAGCTGTGGCTTTAAGAAAAATACCAAATATCAAAAGACTGACAATAAAATAGAGAATTGGCAAAATTAGAAATAAAATGCATAAATACAGCTATCTGGTGTGGTAGTAAATACAACTTCACAGGGATTTGGTGCAGTATTGTTCTGTATAAATCAAGAAATGCATAGGCAATGAAACAAAAATATCAAAGGAAAATTCAAACTAAGGCCTCAGTCCCAAAGTGAGTTCTGTTCAGGCAGACTCCTGTGTCCATTTGGAGTCCTACTGACTTCAGTGGGCTCCATGTGAATACAAGGCCACCTGCACAGAGCTCATTTCAGGATCTGGAGCTATGGGGGCGTGTGAATCCATAAAGATAAAATAAGTGATTCAAGGCAAAGTAAATTTTGAGACACACATACCGCTAGTGGATTGAGTTTTCTTAATTGGGTCATTTTCTTAGGGCTGGTCTACACTGGGGGTGATCGATCCAAGATACCAACTTCAGCTACGCAAATAGCGTAGCTGAAGTCGAAGTATCTTGGATCGAATTACCTGGGGTCCACACGGTGCGGGATCGACGGCCGCGACTCCCCCGTCGACTGCGCTACCGCCTGTCGCTCTGGTGGAGTTCCGGAGTCGACGGTGAGTGCGTTTGGGGATCGATATATCGCGTCTTAACGAGACGCGATATATCGATCCCGGATAAATTGATTGCTACCCGCCGATACGGCGGGTAGTGAAGACGTACCCTTAAGGTTGGTACTTCCTGCTTTGATCCATGATTAGAAGGAAAATCAATTTCCAACATGCCTGGAACCATAATGAAATCTCGTTAGAACATGACAATTCTCAGCTAGACCAAGGCGGTTTGCAACAGCCTCCAAATTTGTAAAGGTTTATGCAAACCAAACTTAACTTATTAATCAGTACTGTTAAAGTAGAGAAGGAAAGTTATATTTTATCTCTTCAGCAGCAAGTGAATTATTAACAGAGTTGTAAACCTTGCCCTTCCTATATTTTCTAAACTTGGTTAATATTTTAACTTGCTGTTCTTTAATCTTTAATTTTCCCAGGTCTGACAGTAAGCTATCATGAATAGAAAAGAGCAGTAGTACGGGGTGAAATTGTTAAAGTTTATCAATACATATGTATTTCTGACATCTAAAAATGATGTTTTTAAGAGAGTCTATCAAAGTACACGCTCTACATAAAAAATCACCATCCCTCAAGCTGTTCCCCTGGCCATAAGATCAAAACTGCTGCATACTAGCAACTGCTTTGCTGGTATTTCCTATTTAAAATAATGTGGTACATAGGCATATATAAATATGACTTTATAGCTGCAAAGTAGTTATTGCTCTGAAAGGACTGCAGTGATATACTCAGGATTATTGCAGCACTATGATACCTATCTTGACTTAGTTGTGTAAATCCCCGCTGTGGTGAAGATTTAATAAAAATGTGTTTGCAGACCTACCTTTTCAAATCCCACCCAGCTGCTCTGTCTCTCACACATATACACACAAACCCTTTTTATGCTCTTAGTTTTTTCTGTAAACTATTCATTTTAAAGGTGATAAATGAATCCTTCAGAAGTTCCCTATGAAGAGTGAATATTTTAGTTATGATTTAGGGTTTGATTCTTACTTAATTCCATATTCAATGTATTTTTGATTGAGTAAATATTTCAGCACTGAGCCTATTATTTAGGGTTTTCTAATAAAAGGGTCTCCTTGCCTTTTTATGCTAGTGTAACTACAGTGAATAGTAATCAGTGTATTTGAAGTCCCCAAAATGTTTTTGGGGGGATTTATTGTGCTGAGAAGACTGATTTCAGTCATTTATTTTATTTATTTTTTTAGTTAACTTCCTGGTTTTGGAGAATTAATTAGTATAAATTCTTGAGAGCTGTGTTATGCCATTTCTTGTATCTGATTCATATTAAAATGATCTTTAAAATGCAAACAAAAAAAACCCCTTCATGTGGGATTCTGACATTACTTATAAGACAAAACATGAAGTTAATTTTCATGTGTATATTTAGATTTTAGAACTTTTATGTTATTGCCTCAAAACATCACAGCTAAAATGCAGTAGAATAATGTATTTTCAGTTATGAGTAGGCCAGATAATATTTTAAACACATTAGACCAAATTCTGCTCTCACCTGAAATAAACCTGAATATAAACCTGAAATAAACCTGTTGAAATAAACCTCTGGAGCTAAATCAGCAAAATTGAAAGCAAAATTTGCCCCAATCATTATATTGACATCAGAGAGTAAATCTTAGTTTTGCATGTAAGATCTTGCCAGGCTGTTTGTTTGTTTTAGTTTGACCACTGATTCAGAGCAAGTGGACCCAGAGTGCAGTGGGGCTAGAAAGATGACAGAAGCAGGATAGAGGCATTCAAAGGAAGTATAATTCTCATGCACCGTTTATGTTTACTTGGAACATTTCCCCTCCCGCCCCCGCCAGTTTTCCTGTTGTGATGTCTGTTACTAAATGCACGAAAATAGTCATTGCCTATGTACTTAATCCAGTAAAAGATTTAAACTTGTTTTCCTTCATCTGGACTTAGGGCTTGATCCAACTCCCAACTGAAGTCAATAAAAGTCTGGATTGATCATAGAATCATAGATATATAGGGCTGGAATGGACATTGAGAGGTCATCAAGTCAAGTCCAGTCTCCTACGCTGAATCAGGACCAAGTAAACCTAGACCGTCCCTGACAGGTGTTTGTCCAACCCGTTCTTAAAAACCTACAATGATGGGGATTCCACAACCTCCTTTGGAAGCCTATTTCAGATCTTGACTATCCTTATAATTAGAAAATTTTCCCTAATATCTAACCTAAATCTCCCTTGATGCAGATTAAGCCCATTACTTCTTGTGTTACCTTCAGTGGACATGGAGAACAATTCATGCTCATCCTCTTTATAACAGCCCTTAACATATTTGAAGACTCTTGTCTTCTTTTCTCAAGACTGGACATGCCCAGATTTTTAACGATTTCCTCATAGGTCACATTTTCTAAACCTTTTGTAATTTTTCTTACTCTCCTCTGGACTCTCTTGAATTTGTTCACATCTTTCCTGAAGCATGGCACTCAGAATTGAACACAGTTCTCCAGCTCAGGCCTCACCAGTGCTGAGGAGAGCAAGACAATTATCTCACGTGACTTATATACGACACTTCTGTTAATACACCCCAGAATGATATTCGCTTTCTCCGCATCACATCGTTGACTCATATTCAACTGGTGATCCATGATAACTCTCAGATCCTTTTCAGCACTACTACAATGTAGCCAGTTATTCCCCATTTTGTATTTGTACATTTGATTTTTCCTTCCTAAGGGGTAGTACTTTCCACTTATCTTTATTGAATTTCATCTTGTTGATTTCAGAGCAATTCTCCAATTTGCCAAGGTTGTTTTTGATTTCTGATCCTGTCCTCCAACATGCTTTCAATCCCATCCACCTTGGGTCATCTGCAAACTTTATAAGCATACCCTCTACTCCATTATCCAAGTCATGTAATGAAAATATTCAATAGCACTGGATTCAGGACTCACCTCCATGGGATTCCACTAGATATGCACTCCCAGTAATACTTCAGTTACAAGAAACTGAAACAATAAAAGATATTAATTGTTTAAACAGCAGTAGAAATTAGCTGTATTTTCTGTTTCTATAACATTTTAAAATGCTGTTTGTTTTCCCCCCCTAGAAATAAGAGTAGCTCGCCACGACACCTGATCCTGTCTTCCATATCAGTTCTTTTTTGCTATCATCAAGGAACAGTTGTAAAAGGGTCGTTTTTAATCACAATAGTGAGAATTCCAAGAATTATTCTTATGTACCTTTATGATGCCCTAAAAGAAAAGGTGGGTACATACTTGTGTAACACAATAGTACAGTGGTTAAGGGGTGAAGTTCGGGAAAGAAATGTATTGGAAAAACTAACCTCTGTGTAAGACTCTGTAGTGTGTTTTATTTTGATTTCTTCATGAAATAGTTTCTTGTCTGTATCTACTCCTTTCTGCCTCAGATCAGATTTTTTTTTAATTTCAAATAAAAAAATCAAAGGTGATTTATTTTTACTTTTTTAATGTAAAATCTTATATGTGGAGTAAGGAACAATTTAGAGTTGGCAGAAGGATTTTTTTAAAACTCTCACATCATAATCATTTTTAAAAAAATCCAGCTTTCCAAGAATGGCTTATTTTCAGCATGAAAACTCTCCTTTCTTGGTGATTTCACTTGCCTTGTGATGGGAGGCTCAAGAGTATATAAAAAGAATAGGTAAAATAAGAACTAGCCCACATTCTTGTCCAGAATTTCAGCATATCTTTTAAAGCATAAAGAAGTGTGGTTAAGTGTTTTTGTTGTTTATCTTTTTAATTTTCATGCACCTCTGCATGTCTGGGCTTCTGCTGGAAACAGAAGTACCATAGTAACACTGGAATGCAAATTGTGGTTATTTCTGGAAACCTCACGGGAGGGGCTGGTTCTCATGAGATGTCGAGCTCTATTTCTTAATCAGCAGTTTGTAATAAATTAGGAGCAGTAGTGGGTCTGTGTGGCACTCCACTGACATCACTGGGGCGCCGTATGAGTGCAGGAATCCATTTGCAGGGACTCTATAAGTGCCTAAATAAGAGGGACTTGATGTTCAGATGTGCTGAGCACTCAGAACATTCTCTGAAGTCAATAGAAGCTGTGGGTGATCAGCACCACTGAAAATCAAGTTATTCTTTTTAAGTGCTTAAACTTGGATGTAGTTGCTTAACTTTAGGCACCCATTTGTGGAAAATTTTGCGCTTAAACCTTGGGTGTTTGGTTCAGTTAAACACCTTGAGGCTTGCCTTTTGCCAATAGATATGACATGGTGGATAAGAAGGGTTTTGTTACTAGGAAGAATATACGTTTTATTTTCCACCTATGAAGGAGTTCATAAAACCACAAGCATACAAGACCATTCACTGGAGTCTGTGTAAAAGTCACAAATAATGCATAAGAACAAATGGGATATTACAGATTAATGACAAGATTAAACTACCCAGAAACTTTATGGTCTGCTGCTTTTGTTGTACATCTGAAGCAGATGTGCTAGTTGCTGGAAATTCTGAATAAATTTTGAATGAGCCAATATTGTCTAGCAAAGAGGGTTTATTTGTATCCCGAGGTGTATCCTCCATGTCCTCTTCTTCTTTTCTACCTTCCATGACCAGCATACAGTCTTCCAACTGAGGAGGACTTGACAGGACTTCCTCTGAAATTAGGCAATGCAGCTCCTAAACAGGCTGCAGGGCACCTGCTAACAATGGGCCAGACTGCTCCCCCAAATCCATGGAGGAAGACCCTCCACACAGTGATACCACTCTGTTCTGGCACGCCAGAGTACAATCCACCATACCCCTGGACCCTGCAGACTCCCTTCCACAAAGTACAGGGACCAACAAGGTGGCAGTGGTTGGGGAGTGGGCAGACTGGATGGGATGCAAATCATCCCTCCTGTGGTCTCACAGGACTTACCTAGACTGTATTACCTTTTCCATAGATGTTCCTGTTCCCTCTGGAGACAGGGGATCCTTTGCTCCACTGCAGCCATGCTGTCTGGGAGAGGGGAGGGTACTGCTTGAGGCCAGAGCATCTGCACAGGTGTCCCTGGAGTTTCGTGAGTTTGTAGAAGGACATCCGGGCCTTTTCCACCAGGCAGCCCCCTCCCTTCCTCCTGACAGAATTACCAAGAGGAATCGCAACGTGCAGAGTCTCCTCCTCTGGGTTTTAATGTGGAAGGGGATGAATATTGTCCATTGTGAGGAAATTAGCATGCTGCTTTTATAATAAACACAGCTCTCCAGCGAGACATGGCAAAGTATTGCCATTCAGCTTGGCTCAGGGTATTATTCTTTGGTGACATTTTAAAAAAGTATTGAATGCTGGAAAATTTGCAAGGATATTAAACTCCAGACTAAAAAATTCTCACCTTCACTGCTTCCATACAACTCCACAGCTATGCATGTGACCTGAAGATTTCACACAGCCATTCTAAGAGCTTTACTTAAAAACCTTTTTGAGCCCTGAAGATAGAGGATAAAAAAGACTCTTGAACAAATATCACCAAATGGAATTTGCTTTTAAATATCATCTGGGGAAAATGGCCATGCCACAATGGCCCTCAAGATGTAGGATTTCATGATTATATTTTAAAATACTCTGTAGGATTAACAACTTTGGTTTTTGAGGTAATGTTAGATGTTCTTCCCTGTTTTGTTTTATGTTTAATATAAAGTTAATATTCATCAAAGTCTTTGTAAGAACTTCAAACTGTTTCCTGAAAGGAGTGATCTCCTTGAGAATTTAAGCCTGCTGTTTTTACCTTTCCTAATAAAATTAAAGTACTTCGTGGGTGTGTCAACATAGCAGCAGCCGGGAGTGTGCTTCCCAGCACAGATAGACAAGACATGCGCTAGCTCCACTTGAGATAGCATAGTAAAAATAGCACTGTGGCTGTGGTGGCATTGGGCAGTGGCTCAGGCTAGCCATTTGAGTACGTACCCAGGGGTTTAGGCAGGTTTGTACTTTTGTGGGTAGCCTGAGCCACTGCCAGTGCTGCCATAGCCACGCTGCTATTTTTAGCACACAAACTTAAGCAGAGCTAGCATGTCCGTCTATCCATGCTAGAAAGCGTGCTCCCAGCTGCTGTGTAGACATTTCCTGTGTGTGCGTGCACACATTTGTATAAATCTCTCTAGTCTTTTTATTTCTGTCAGACAGGGTTCCAGTTATTTCAAAAACTTGAAAAACAGCCCAAAAATAAAACTAACATTTGTATAAATTACAAAGAAAATAAATACTTTATATACAGTAAAAAAAAGTTTAATTTGTAAATAGACTCTCTGTTGGTCATCGATCAGTACACTGACAGTTACTGATTTGCCTGCATGCTTTGTGCTACATGCAGCTGTTAGCAAACCAAAGCTGCTTACGTCAGTTATTTTCCTTCCAGAGTAGAATCTTCCATCCAAAGGGAAAAAATGTTCAGCTCATCAATCATTAATACTGTACGATCTGAATTAAAAACAATTCCCATAAGCAGGAAGGAAATCTCTGCTGTTTAAATGAATACTTTGTGAGAAGAACTGCAGTGTCCTGTTAAGCAAGTTGGTGTAAAATGTCAGTTTTATATAAAATCTGTCTGCACTAACTAGTTATTTCATTTCCTTGCAGGAGAGTGCATGTGCAAGATGCATGTTCAAATGCTGTTTCTGCTGCTTTTGGTGTCTAGAAAGGTGCCTAAGATACTTTAACCAGGTACAATACATTATATCAAGTGCATATCTAAAGTAATCTACAAGTAAAGTTATTCAATATAGTGAAGGCTGTATATAAATGAATTGTACTCTGTGTCCTAGAGTTCATTTCAGACTGAGTCTTTGTCCGCATTGTGTCTAGCTATATTAGTTTAAATGTTATAAAATATTGTCTACAGTTTGGGAGAATCCTGTCATACACAGGCACAATCTTGGTGTGTAAAATCAGGAAGATTAATGTAGACATGCCAGATGAGTGATAAGACTGTTTTAATTCAAATTAATTGATTGCTGATTAACTTGCGTTAGCTAGCACATTTGTCCATGTGAGTCTGGATGCACCACAAACATTTGTGAGGTGTCCAGACTAGTATGTATACGTGTGCCAGCTAACCCCAGTCAACTGGCAATCAATTAACTTGAGTTTTAAAAACAACGTTGTGTAGACAAACTGAAGATGGGTGTTGGCAACATTTCTCCACAGCAACAGAGAGATTACAAACAGCTACAAGTAGCTGGGTGTAAAGGATGGTGTAGCAGATCTGATCATTTAGAACAGTGGTTCTCAAACTTTTGTACTGGTGACCCTTTTCACATAGCAAGCCTCTGAGTGTGATGATCCCCCCCCCCCCAATAAATTAAAAACACTTTTTTATATATTTAACACCATTATAAAATGCTGGAGGCAAAGTTGCATTTGGAGTGGAGGCTGACAGCTCGCGACCCCCCATGTAATAACCTTGCCACCCCCTGGGGGGTACCGACCCCAAGTTTGAGAATCCCGATTTAGAAAGATCTTATTAGAAAAACTACAGTGGGCCTTCCCCTTCTTCTTCAAGGGTTAGAAAGCCAGAGGGTTCTGTGAGTCAGGTGACAGGCTATTGAGATACAGGGGGCCCAAATGGAGGATCTAGAGGATGCAAGAAGCCTAACTGAAGATGATGTCCAGCTTCCTGCTGGCTCGTGGACACTGTGTGGCTTATTATTTATTATTGTGTTTGTAGAACAAACAGTACCTAGAGGCCTTATTCATTCAGTATAGGGAACTAATTGTGCTAGGCATTATACAAACAGTAAAATACATGGTGCCTGCCCTGAAGAGTTTATAATACAATCTAGATGGATAAATAACTGTCCACCCTGGGAGCATCCACTCAAAGAAAAAACTCTCTTACTGGTCTTTTCTGATTTTCAGTATTACTATATCTGGAATATAAACCAAAATGGGGCATCCACAAAATACAGTATTCCCTTTCTTAGAAAGACAACTTTTTTAACTGTTATTTTCCAAGGTGTTTTTATTGGAAATGATTGATCTACATACTGCCAGTTTTCAAATACTTGACTTCTGCTCTTTTCTTCCTGGTCCTTTCTTCCACATTTTCCCCAACTCCATCTCCATTCTTGTCTATACTTATTTCTTGTGTTTTTACAATACCCCTTCATCATCTGTGGTGGCTCTAACATCCTTTGCCGTTATAGTGGAAACAATAAGAAGATCTACTTCACCCTAAAGATTATGTATGGTGTTCTTCAGGGTTCTAGTTTCACTCCAGTTCCCTTTAATACTTTGTATGCTACAATTCTGAAGATGCCATTGGGCAGTACAAGTTGAGCTTTGATAACTCTTAAATCAGATTCTGCTAGAGCTGCACTTTGCTGTTTTAAAGTGGCTGCATAAATGAAAATGAATGCTGAATGGCTTGAAAGAAATAGGATATGTTTTAGTCCAGACCACACTAAATTCTTGTTCAACAAAATCATTAGTTCCGTGGGATGAACTTTCTCGGCTTACATTCTGGGTTAGATCTCATGGTCACTGACTTGGTTAAGAGCCTTGTAGTTAGTTTGGACTCCAAGCATGTTGTTGTCACCCTTCACCTTGGCTTCCTGCCCTTCAAAGATGATAGACAATATAAAAGCATTTGCTTTCTCCAGCTGCTGTTGTATGTTATTTATGTGTTTGTTACAAGAATACCTAATTATTGTACTGCTGTCTGCTTGAGTCAAAGGCTTGTGCTTCAGTTCTTACTTTGTTAAAAGATTTCCTGTTATTTTCCTTGGCCATTGTAGTAAAAAATAGGTCTTAAAAAAAATAAAAAACTGAGGATTTGTTTGTTTGTTTTAAAATTCAAGATCATATTACTGTGCCTGTTGTTAAATAATTGTTTGTTTGTGTAAGTTTTTGGCAAAGACAACCATGGCTCCAGCTTTGTAAACCAGAGCAACGTAGCATATGGGAGAAGGTTAGAAAAGAAGATAACCATAAACCTTTTGTAAGGTAACCTATAGAAGTTATAGCTGTATGAAAAAAGTAAGAGCGAGCACAGATGAGTGTATTATGCAGGATAATCAATTTGTCTAATCCTTCCCCCCTCTCCTCCCACAAAATAAGGTGTATGCAGGTTTTTGGGGGGTGATTAGGTAAATAAATCTGAACCAGGATTCAAGTTTGCAAAATTGTGACCAAGATTTTCAAAAATACAAGCCGTGGCTTGATTTTTCAAGAGTGCTGAACATTCAGCTACTCTCATTGAAAGCAGTAGAAGTTGCTGAGTGCTCAGCACTTTTGAAAATGAGGCCACCTATCTAGTTTCTGAATTTGGACTTAGGTTTGAACCTAACTTTAGGCACTCATTTTTAAAAATTTGGTCTGTCTGTGTATTTCTGATATTTGTAAAGCTTTTAGTACTTTTCAGATTATTTTTTTTAGAGGGGTTTAAATTACTCAAATGTAGAACAGTTGTCATTGAAGTTGATCCTAGAGTTACTGTGTGTACTGACATTTTCCATTCTGTGTTTGTCCTTTGTCCCAGTCTTGTTCATCAGTGATAATATTACCTTAGCAAATGCATCATTACCTGGGAATTCTAAAAAGAAATCCATTGAGAACTCTGATAGGTGGGAAGAAATCACATTTTTAAAAAATGATTACAAATCTCTCCCCATCATTCCAACACTGATATTTTCTTCTTCTTCTGCCTGTTTCTGAGGAGGAATTAAGTAATCTGAATGACACAAATTCTCATCTCGCAAGCTAAGCAGGGCTGAATGGGTCAGTACTTGGATGGGAAACTTGCAGAGGACTAACAAGTGCCCCAGGAAGTAATGTTGGTGATTCAGAAGATAGCACTCTTACCTGTGAGATAGTATCAACCCAGTGGCACATTATGTTGTCAGCGGGCACTGTGCAGCTGGATATGCCATCTTTCAGATGAGATTTTAAACTTTGGCCCTGATTGTCATGTGCATCTCCTACAGGTGGAGAATTAGCCCGTTGCCAACAATGGGGTATTTTACTATGTTGTTTTAACTGTCCAGTGCTGTGTGGATTTGGTGATCTCCCTTAATCATCTGTTACAAGATAATATTGTTCAAGAGTGGATCCATTTAGACTTCTTATTCTGCTTTTCTTTCCTTTTATCTATATGGTACAGTCCAAAAGATATATTTGTTCACATGCAATATGTAAAAATCTGCAAACACTGCATGTGGAATAGAAACAGTAGCTTGGATGTGCAGAACAACATGACATTAATATTAAATATACCAAAACATGAACAGGATGCTAGATCTCTAAATAATGGAAAGAGATATAACTGCCCTTTCACTCATCCACAGATTTCAAAAGTGGCTCAGGCAATAAGAACCTCCTACTGATTACCTTCTCCCTAGACCTTCCATTAAGGCCTGTTCACTTAATAAATGTCCTTGTCTGTGGATTTTCAGGATTATCTGCACTGATGTATCTCCCCTCTTCTGCCTTTAGTTCACTAACTCAAAGCATCAGGTCCTAGGCTAGAAAACAGCTGGTATATAGTAATGTCTTATGTTCTTCTCCCCCCAGCTCAGTTCAAACACAGCTTCCTTGAAGTGAATCATAATCCCAAAGCACTCATCTGAGTCTCATTCAGATCTCCAAGGACCTTGCTCAAGAGATGCCTAAGGGGATATCTACACTGCAATAAGAAACCCACTGGTGGCCTGTGCTAGGTGACGGGGGTTCGCAGGCCTCAACCTAAGGGCTGTTTAATTGCGATGTAGATGTTTAGGCTCAGGCTGGAGCCCAGGCTCTAATATCCTGCGAAGTGGGAGGATCCCAGAGCTCAGGCTGCAGCTTGAGCCCGAACGTCTGCACTACAGTTAAACAGCCCCTTGAACCAGCAGTGGGTTTTTAATTGCAGTGTAGACATACCTTCAAAGACATCCTGCCATTACCTGGGCTGTTCCTTAGTCACTAATAGTTATAACATGTGCTGACTATAGAGTTCTGTTGCAGTGGCTGCTTATAATCATTAAAGATTCAGTGACACTTTCTGCATGAGCAGCAGCGTTAACCCAATGTCCTGTTTGGACTACAATTTGGGTAATTATATTCTGCCTGCCTAAATTCCCTCTGTACTTGCAACTGGGTCCTGTCCTGTGGCGTAAAGTTACTATGTTAAGCGGTTCACCCCAAAGCTGCTGTATTTCTGATTTGTATGTGTATAATACATTAGTAAAACTCTCTGGGATCTATCTGGATGAAAGGTGCATTATGAATACAAAATCATTATCCTTCTGTTTGCCAACATTTGTTAGAATTAGCATAGATTTTTCATCATCTTGCATTCATGGTTTCAGTAAGGCCTAGATAAACCTATCCAAATGATCTCAAGTAAAATCTGGTGGATTGGAATTTCTCTTCCATAAAAACAATCCCCTTTTTTTGGTTTGGTAGTCACAATTTCTGTCTCCTCTCTTAAATAGTTGTGGCAGTGCCTTAACTTTGGGTATTTCAAAGACATCTCTCCTTCCTTAGTCTTGTTTCAATAAATGTATTTTATAGTACATCACCAGAAGTATAATTTTGCTTTTCTGTGTCCGGTTTGGGTTGATCTGCAGCCAGCTGGCAAGCACCCCTTTCATAGTGCAGCACTTAGGTTTCTGAAGGAATTGCTGAGAAGCGTGTGGTTTCTTTATTCTAATCAGCACCATGATGTTGAGGCTGCAATGGCATGT